TTTATTGTTTTTGAAGTAAAACCTTCTATAGGCAGGTTTAGATGGGGAGTAAATTCATAAAAGTCGTCATCGACATGGTCATGTGACGTGTTAACACTAACACTGAGAGTGCCGATACATGACAAAACTAGATAAATATAAACAGTTTTAATTTACAAATTTTAATTTAAGATCAAACAGTTAATTTGAATATCCAAAAATAACAACTGTTTGTTTATAGTTTTAAGTTTTCACTTCTGTCGGCAGTCTTCATAACTGCTTTTACAAAAAAAAATGTTATGTGTGTCTATTAACAGTTAGTCTTCATCTACTCTATTCTATTCAATAGAAAAATCAGTTATTCAACATTCGCTAACGACTTAAGCTACTTACATAAAACAATAATTTTTCATCAAGTTAGTACTGAAAATTATTTTCCGGTCCATCTGCCACTTAAAAGCCGTCATAAAAAGTCCATCCTTATATAGTCTCGTAAAAGTTTTAAATTCCAACAGTACACTAAAGTTCTGTGTTTACGACGATCGACGTTAAAACAAATGGCCAGTGACATTAAGTTAAAATAATGTATTGGAATTTCAAAAGTAATAAATTTTTTCACCGATAGTAAAAAGGAGTATTCAGATGATTTACTTGTGATTTTAATTATTATGATGATTAAATAAAAAAACATGCTTAAGTCTGGGATCGTATGAAATATGAAAGATAAAAATGGTTCAATTCGTATACAATCTCAATCTCTGATGTTCAATATATACCTAGCTTGAAATTTTGTACGTATGTATGTGTATGAGATAGGAATTATAATAGAAATATCTAGAAATGTTAATTTGAAAAAGCAACTTTATTTATTTAATTTTAAAGTTACGTTTTAAAGTTGTTTTAATAAATCAATATTGACTCTTTTAAGAGATTAGCTAAAAATCTCTCCGTTTTCAAATGTAGATCTTGAGTGTAAATATTTATTTTTCTACAACCAAGTTGAGGCTAAGAAATATAGTTTTACTAGCGACTAAACCATATATATATATATATATATATATATATATATATATATATATATATATATATATATATATAGGTATGATGAGTTCTTGTGGTTGTATTATAACGTGTTTTCCCGTTGGAATGAGATAGTCTCCCGCGGTAAAAAGCAGCCTATGTCACTCTACAGCCCTCCAACTATCTCCGTATAAAATCACGCCAATCAGTCACTCTGTTTTGACGTGAAAGACGGACAAAAAACACACTTTCACATATATAATATTTAGTATGGATTTAAATTTTTGAAAAATCGAATCCACGAATATAGTAAAATCCATCAACAAGTCGTACTGTAGAGAAACCTTGTCACTGACGTATAACCCACTGATAGTGCCCTCTCATTCTCTAACAATTAGAGTGATTTAGTGAAAATAAAATCTGTCTATTTAAGACAGACTATTTATCAGTGGAACGAGGGTCAGCTAGCTATAGGAAGTGATAGCTTAATTAAGATTTAACACAGTAAATGGTTTCTAAAAACTATTTTCATTGGTAATGGTCATAGTTGTTTAGTGTAGAGGAGATCGTAAGTTCGATGTTTGTAAGATGCAAATATATTTCGTTCTTGAACTAACAAAAGGCGGATATAGAAAATGTAGTGCCGAGTCTTTCCCCGTCTACCAAGGAAGGACAGTGATTAGAAAATAACAAATAAAACTTACTTCATTAATGAATTGCGTTTTAATAATTCATTAAGTAATAGTTTTTTTTTAAAGAATCTGTACTAGAGCTGTATACTTAATATTATAAAGTGGTAAAGTTTGTGAGTTTGTGACGTTGTAGGGTGGATTTAGATGTTTGGTAAGAAGATAGTTTGAGACCCTGGGAAGAACATAGGATACTTTTTATCCCGGAAATCATCCCATAAGGGGGTGAAAATGGGGATAAAAGTTTGTATGGGGAATCAAGCTAGGGATGAATCCGAGCGACTCAAGAATTATTTAATAATTATTGTATTATTATATTAATACATATTAAGTAATAATATCCGAAAAATTAACTAACTTTCTAATTTCTAAATAACAATTCGAAAGCAATATCTAACCTATCTATTTATATAACCTATCTATATATAAAACACCGCCTTCAAAAATAAGTATATAGTAATCTTGAGTTTTAGTACAAATAATTATTTGTTAACATATTTCAACTACATATAATGCAAATCTCATTAAAAATGTCACGTTAAAGAAGCCAAATGTTATAAAATGTTTCATATTAGCTTTACGTGCAGGAAATAAGGTAAGTTAGGAAACTTAATAACTTCAGTTAGACTCAAACGAAAACTTTGTTCTTCATTAAGCACTAAGGAACTTCTAACTCGAGGGTATAAAGATGGCTCGGACATCTACGTCCTTTGAGTAAGTTTAAACCCGATATTGAAAGTGCGGAAATATAGTTAATCTTATTAATATTTTATACTAGCATTGTGTATAGAATAGCGTAGGTTTTAGTAGTGATAGCCTATTAGGAACGCGATTGCATTAAACAATAAGAGAAGCAGGTTCAAATCCGGCTTTCGCAAGTCTGATAATTTCATTTACATATAGCTAATACGATGAAGGAAAACATCGTGAAGAAACCTACATATCTGAGAGACTCTAACCAGTTATCAAAAGACGTGTTAAGTCTAAGACCAGGCCAACTTGGTAGACTATGACCTGGTCCTTATAGCATTAAGCCCGTGACCAGAATTAGAATATTAAAAAGTTAAATTATTATTTATTATTGTTTTATCCTACATAGTGTGTATTCTTTTTTCGTCATTATTTTCTTATCAAATGGCTTGGCAGATTTTGATGATTTTTTATGTACATATAGGGTCGTCAGGAGAGTTCTTAGCTATAGTTAGTGTAAATCCAGATTTTTTTTAATGATTACAAAAAAATTGGGGGCAGTCTTTATTTTAAAAAATCAACCACCTCTCGTTAGGTTGGACTTTGAAAAACATCATACTATATTTTTAAGTTATAAGTCTCGTTTTTAAGTTATATCTGTATCGAATCGATTCTTTATTATAATGCTTCTATTTAATAATATATGTATGTAAATTAACAAGAGGTCCTTCTATTGCTTAAACTTTACAGACACATAAACAAATATTTTTTTGTACATAATTACCAAAGCTTTTCCAAAACACTTTAAGCAGACCAATTAACGACAAGAGTTAAGTATTGGAAAACATTCATAAGTCCTTTGAGGTAGTTTTCTAAAGTGCTAAGCTTAATAAGAAATTCTATTGGAATAATTTCTATATGCTAGCAAATCGCTATATATGATGAAGACAGTTTTAAGTTACTAAATATATATATATGTATAGGTGCATGGAATTTTGTTAAAGATTCAAGCAAAAACTACTAAATGGATTTTAATGAAACTTTACAATAATATAACTCAAATATCAGAATAATACATAAGCTACTTTTTAGCCCGTGGGATAGATTTGCTTTTGTTTTTCTAGAGACGAACCTGAGCGAAGCAAGGGTAAGCCGCTAGTCGTGATATAAAATTAAATACATTTCGTAAAACTTATTTGTAGTCGAACTTTTCGCGATATTATGTTTTCCTTTGGAAGTCCAATTAACAGAATAAACAGTTCTAATAAACGTGATACGTATAATACCTATTGAATATTGTATGAACATTTTTCTTACTAACTTTCAGTTTCTTTAGGCGTAAGTGCTTTTAACTGTGAAACTTTCGTTAAATTCTAAAATAAATGTCGGTAAATCAGACCAACAAGAGCTGAATTTTCAAATGACTTGACTTATTCAAATTATTTGTTATTACGTACGACTTACGAGTGTATTAGAAAGATTACTCAAAAGAAAACATTTTTTATCTGTTTTAAAATTATTACGACACGTTTGGCTCAGTTTGTAGTGACCCTACTTGCTGTGCCAGCGGTCTCGGGCTCGTATCACGCTGGGAGCATTAATTTGTGTGATGAGCACTAATTCTCCAGTCATGGGTGTTTATATTTATAATATGGTATATATTTAAAGTTATATATGTGTAGTGTACCTATCGACTATCTGGTATCCAAAACACAAGCCTGTAACTTATCATGGAACAATGTAGATGGTGCTGTGTCCTACATGTTTATTTATATTTATCTTTCAAACGATAATAATATCATCCACTGATATGAGAAATCAATGCAAGCAAAACCTTTCACTTATTTTATTTTTAAGTACAACATAAATTCACTGACACGTCAACTTCTGAATACTCTACATTCTATATCATATTGGCAAAGAAAATTATGATTATTTAGCACGCTTAAAGGCTAACAGTTTATCAAGATAATTGTGCTACAAACTTAGCAGAAAAAATTCAACGACCTTTAAGTAATTTTAAAAGTAATTAATAGCTTAAGGTTCCATTTTTTTCTTGAAATTTATTTCTATTCAAAAAAGTATTATGAAAATCGGTTTAACATTGGCAAAGATATCTTGTAAACAACGCAAGAGATATTATTTATTATATTCGAATTTTCATACTGCTTGGGTTATATTCTTTCTACAATTTAAGATCTATCTAAAGTTGATATGAAATCTATACAAAGCTGAAGAGTTTGTTTGTTGGTATATTTGTTTGTTTAAGCGCGCTAATCTCTGAATCTACTGGTCCGATATAAAAAAATCTTATTTCATTTTAAAGTCTATTTATTGAGGCAGGTTATAATTTATAAATATACATATTTTGTAAATAAAACAATATTTTTTCGCGGATTTTGGAGAGACAGTCATCTCTTCAGTAACCATGATTGCTGTGAAACACTATGAACGTCGGGAACCAAAAATTTAAATAAATCCGCGAAAAAATCCAAAAATATATGTAGTTTTATTTTTTGGTGTATAATTTATAAACATAAAGCAATTTATATTTAAACTACACAGGCAGAGCTGCGAGAAAACACTAGCTTAGTTAACAAAATCCTTTCTTTTTGTTCCCAGAATGTCAATATCCCATGAACCAAACGCGACATACGCTGAGCTGGTCATCACTAACGTGAAACCCAACGATGAAGGAGTGTACCGCTGTGAGATCACCTATCTCCAAGTCGGTGAAGACTGCAACACTGTTCAAGTGACGGACTTCCATACATACAGTAAGTTTTAATAATAATAACTCCTATAAAGCTTGTAGAAGTATTGTACAAACTGATTACAAGCATAGACACGATCAATTAGCGTCGATATTTCATCAACACCTTGCATATGATTACAAATTTATAAATAAAAAACAGCCATATTATAAATATAAACCCGATTGCGTTTTAGAAACCAGTGACTATAAGCTTTACTGGGATAGGACTATATTAACAGATAAGACAGTATATAATAATAGACCAGACATTACCTTGTATGACAAAAAAAATAAAACAATATTTCTAATAGATATAGCCATTCCTAACCCACACAATATTCAGGCCACTGTGTCTGAGAAACTGTCGAAATATCAAGACCTGCTATAGAAATTAAAACCCAATGGCAAGCCCAAACTGTGCATATTTTACCAATTGTATTGTCATCCACTGGTGTAGTACCTAAATCATTAGTAAACAGTCTAAAATTAATAAATATTCCAGTACCTATATATAATTTACACTTTACAAAAAGCCGCTATACTAAACACCTGTCGAATTACACGAAAATTTCTAGTATCCTCAACCATTTCTAGTACTTCCAGTCACACGTATTTTTAATTCTATAATACTTGGTTAAGGCCCGTATGATAGAGTAATACATTCTTTTGAAAGAAAGAAGAGAAGATAAATTTCTTTTAAAAATAATAATAACTCCTATAATATAATTATACGTTATAAGAAAATAATTTATATGTAAATGACGGAGTTCTGAGGTAACAAACATAAAAATACAACAGAATTGAGAACATGCTCATTTTTTTGAAGTCGGTAAACAAAAAAGAAAAATAGTTGAATAGTAGAATGTAAAGAAGACGGTCTTACCGCTACAACGGCGATATTTATTATTATTAATATTGATCTTTCTCAAAGTTCGAAGGATCACATAATACTTTCTTTCTCCCGTGAACACGATTGCTGTAAAGCAATCGAAACATCGGGAACCGAAATTCAAAATAAATCCGCGAAATAATCCGAAAAGATAGTTTTATTTAAAAAGTTCTAAGGATTTTGGTGTCATAAAATCCACGGTCCTATGCCAAAATAGAAATAAGAAGATTGGAAATGATGGGTTATTATTAACAGCTTCTTCTCAGAGAGATTTTCTTAGTATACGGCAGCATGGGTACCGAGAGGGGCATACCTATGCATAAAGGAAAATTAAAAGTAATAAAGTAAGAATTCTTATTATAGTGTATGGATATATGGTGCTATTTTCCAGTTCCACAATTCATTTCCCATAAATATATATCAAATACACAATACGATAAAAGACTCAAATCTATCGATATGATGAACAGCACTATTTGGTGCTAGGATATTGCGCTCATACCACCCGAGGCGATTCAGCGATATATTTTATTGTCTCTTTCATACCTATTTTTGTTATACAGACTGATGTTTTAGTGAAAATTTCTTTAGTTAATATATTATGTTATATCAACTTACCCTTGTTTCACTCGGGTATGTCTATATGTACCTCTTATATTTAAAATACTAGCGACACACCCTCGCTTCGTTCGGGTTCATCCCTAACTTGCTTCTCAATACAAACTTTCATCCCCATTTTCACCTCTTTCAGGGATGATTACCGAGATAAAAAGTTTCCTATGTCCTTTCTAGGGTCTCAAACTATCTTCTTACCAAATTTCATCTAAATGGGTTGAGTAGATCCAGAGATTACCCCCTACAACGTCACAAACTCACAAACTTTACCTCTTTTTAATATTAATAATATTAGTATAGATTATATGCAGGCAACGCCATCTATTGGTATATTTATTACTTACACCTATGTGTTTTTCCAAGTCATAGTCTATATGTGTACTACATTTTATCCAAATCCGTCAAGCCTAAGCTCATTAAATTTGTCGATAGCTTCATAGCGCTGCGGGCTCTCTGCCCTCTATCTCAAAAACGGTCGGGCGTATGATTTTTTTTTGACATAATTTGTTGCAAATTTTATGTTCTACAAGTTTTATAATAAATGTTAATATGATGGGAGCTATAGAAATCGAGATAATCACGATAAATTGATTTTTGTGACCATTGATCTTGAATTACTTATATAGGACTTTATGAGATTTTTGAGACAACTGTTAGAACACCAAAATGAAGCTCTATACAAGTTTACAGCTTATTATCTCTAATTCCGAGGTTGATCCCTTCCTATATATATCCCTAATACGTTAAATGCTTCAAAATAAAAACAACATCAGGTATTAATAAAGCATTAAAATATATTTTACTTCACTGGGATTCAAACCCGTGACACCCAACTTATAGACACCATGAAACTTTCTTTGCATTATGCGAATATTAGACATTTTAAATAAAATCTCCCATGACCATGATTGCTGTAAAGCGTACTTAACGTCGGGAACCAAAAATCAGAAAAAAAATCCATGAAAAAAATCTAAAAATATTTTATTTATACACACAAACTAAAAATTAATATTTTCGTCAATAATTCTATCATATTTATTTTAGATTTTCCCATCACAACTTCACCCTGTATACACAACAATTCCCTTTCCTCACGTTTTTCTACATAAAGTACTTTATTTGATACTTTGTTTAGACAGTCTGTTCAGGATTATTTACCCCTGACATACATATGTAGGTGCTAACAATATCTTTTCCTTTTTTCCATATTTACCCAAATATTGAATGACATATTACATCAGATTATTGCTATATTCAAAATGAAAATGGTTTCAAATTTACCTTATTATATTAAAATAATATAAAAAATACTATATAAATTAGATAATATGTATATTTTACAACAAAAGTGATTTATTTAGATATTATAATACGTATATTATAATATCTAGTCAAGCGTAGATAAAGTAATAAATCACAATAAAAATTTAATTTTCAAGTGTACATAATGTATTATCCATATTAGTATATTATAAATGTGAAACTGTGTTTATTTGTTTGTTTGTCTTTCATTCACGTCGAAACGGAGAGACGGATTGGCGTGATTTTTTATGTGGTGATTGTTGGAGGGCTGGAGAGTGACAAAAACTGGCTTTTTACTGCGGGATATTACCTCATTCCCACGGGAAAACACGTTATAATACAGCCCAATAAATATTTATGATCAGAATTAATTGAAACTTGGTATTAATGCTCTTCAATATAATTAAATAATAATGTATTAAAGCATTTCTCAAAATTCATCCCATAAGGGGGTAAAATAGAAGTTGGAAATTTGTATGAAACCTACTTTTTTAGTTTTTTTGTAGTTTTAGCGCGAGCGATGCCACGGGTTCTGCTAGTAATTAATAAGTATTTAGCATTTAGTAGTTTAGATAACCACATAATAATATATTTAAAAGGGCATTCGTCATATTCTGTATAAAATAATACCATATCATAGACGAATCTATCACCGAGTTTAGTTATTATATACTAATACTAGCGACTCACTCGCTTCGCTCGAGTTCGTCCCTAGGTTGATTCCCCATACAAAAATTCATCCTTATTTTCATGCCCTTAATGGATGATTTCCGCGATAAAAACTATCCTATGTTATTCCCAGGGCCTCAAACTTCTTACTAAATTTCATCTAAATTGGTCCTGTAGCTTCGGAGCCTATTCAGTACAAACAAACAAACAAAAAATCAAATCTTTCCTCTTTATAATATAAATATAGATTATAAATGTAAAAATGCTTTTCTGTATTTTAATTTTTTCACGCTTAAACTAATGAACAAATTTCGATAAAATTTGGCAAGGACATAGATTGCATCCTGGGTTCGGAAATAGTTTACCCTTTATATTTAGTGACTAGCGGAATAGCTATAGCTATAGCTCTAGAATAACACTAATAAAGATCTATTAGTTCTCACGGGAACCGTTCATTTTTCCCGGATGAAAAGTAACCTGTTGTTTGACCGGCAATATAAGATATCAGAATGTTAAATTTTACTAAATTAGGTGCATAAGTTGTATAAGTTATTATAGTTTTTTAACAATTTCACGGGAACTCTTAATTTTTCCCCTACAAAAAGTATCTAAGATGTTGCCCGGGGATATAAGATACCACTTTGCAAAATTTCATTTAAATCGGTCCAATAGATTCGGATATTAGCCTGTACAAACAGACAAACAGACAGAGAAACAAAAAAAATTGAAAAAAACCTGGATTTGTTCTATTTATCTTCTTACATCCCCCTGACTCGGTTTTTAGCATTTTTTTGCTATGTACAGACATTCGACCTCTACTGTTTTATTATAGTATAGATTACGAACTTCAAACGTGAGCAAAGTCGCAGATTATAGCTAGTTAAATTAAAATATGACATAACATAGTATGCAGTATTGCTATATATACATAATTTTGACCTATTAAAATAAAATTAATCTATCCTATATTTGTATCAAGATGAAGTCATTTAAAGGTCACTGAAAATTAATGTACCTATATATTATTGTCAGGCCGAAATTAAATTGACGTTTTAACATAGATAGTATAGATGGTAGATTGTTTTGGAATAATTTTATTCTGATTCTATCAAATTTTGAAGTAAAATGTAAAGTATGTATGTATGTATGTCTATCTATCTATGTATGTATGTCTATCTATCTATTTATTCAGTCCTTTTTAACGTCCCACTTCTGGGCACGGGTCTCCCTTCAATACGATCCCTCGTATCTATCAGATCAGGCCATAGTCCACCACGCTTGTCAAGTGCGGATTGGACTTCACATGTCTTTTGAAAACTTGTTTGATTCTCTCAGATATGCAAGTTTCCTCTCGATGTATTCCTTAACCGTAGGGCAAGTGGTAACCATGTTAGAAATGATTCGCACATGAAAGTATCAGAAGTGTGAGGCCCAGGATTTGAACCCGCTTCACTCGGCTTCCCAAGCCAGCGTGTTACCACTGAGCTACCACTGCCTTAATTGTTAATTATAATTAATGTTTTTATGTCCATCCAAATATTGGGATA